ACACCCACACACACACACACACACACACCCACACACACACACACACACACACACACACACACACACACGCACAACCACACACACTCACACTCACACACGCTCACACCCACGCTCACACTCACGCTCACACATACACACTCACACACACACGCACACGCTCACACACACGCTCACACACACACACACACGCGCTCACACACACACGCTCACACACACACGCTCACACACACACGCTCACACACACACGCTCACACAGTCACAGTCACACTCACACGCTCACACACACACACACACACGCTCACACACACACGCTCACACACACACGCTCACACACACACGCTCACACACACACGCTCACACAGTCACAGTCACACTCACACGCTCACACACACACACACACACAGTCACAGTCACACACACACGCTCACACAAATATCATACAGTCGTGTGTTGATGAATTCATGTTTATTATTATGTAAGTTATATATATTCTATCTATCTATCTATCTGTGTAGATAGATAGATAGAATAATATTGGCAATAAACATGAATTCGTAAATGCATATAATAAAAACTCATAATATATTAGTTTTAAAATATATACTGTACACATTTATAATTTGTTTATATATAAATATATACACACATATACATACAATTTTTATTTATATACTTATGTACAGCTGTATGTAATTATATACAGTCGTGCTCATAAGTTTACATACCCCTTGCAGAATGTGCAAAATGTTAATAATTGAAACAAAATAGGTTCATGAAAATTGCATGCTATTTTTTTATTTGGGGGGGGGGGGGGTAAACTTTTGAACAGGATGATGATGTGGAAATTCTTCTAATTTTTTTTCTTACGATCATATTTTTTCATTTGTTACTGCACTTCAGAAGCTACATAAATACTTACATGTTAAGTAGAATTTACCTTGATCATCCGATTTAAAGAGTTTACACCCCCGGCAGAAGGTGTTGCCTTCTTAAGCATCAGTAGATGTTTTCACTTTTTGAAATAGCTCTGTATGAGTCCCGCAGCTTAATCAGGACAGTACTAAATATAAGGTAACATAACTTATTTTGTTTGAATTATTAACACTTTGCACATTCTGCAAGGGGTATGTAAACTTATGAGCACAACTGTGTAAAGATAAAGCATACATACATATGGAAGTACAATATAACACACACACACACACTCTTCAGGTTACACTCACTTGAGTCCATGTTCATCTGGATTAAAGCCGTGTTTTTTACACACATCCTCAAGAACCTGCAGGATTAAACATTTTAAAATGCATTACTTATAAATATAAAACTCATAATTTAATGTTCAAATTAACCTGATAATTAAAAAACTAGCATCATCCTATTAAACCAGCTGTGTCTCAAACAGTGTTGCCAACTTAGCAATTTTGTTGCTAGATTTAGCAACTTTTCACACTACCCCAGCAACTCTTTCTTTCAAAAGCACCTAGCAACAAACGTAGCTATTTTCAAATTTTATTTGGCAACATTTAGCAACTTTTGATAAGTGACTCAGACGATAAAAAGGCACACATTTTCCATCTAAATGACACAAAAAGAAGAAACCAAAGATGCCTGGCACTACACAGTTCACAGGAATTAAGTTGGCTGCTATTAGCAATTGTTTAATGTAATAATAATAATTGAATAATTGTTCATTTATGATACACCTTGTTAGTAGCTTGTACTTGAGATTGTTGATCAGCTGATCAAGAAAAATAGCTAGAAAAATGAAAAATGTAGTAATTTTCCAGGACATTATCCATAACCCGAAAACACAAAATGCAATGCGTCATTTAAAATGTAGGTAAAAAAACGTGTGCATAATAATTACAGAAAACTCCTTCATATTAATAGATTTTGCCCTATTTTTACAGACTTTTCTTCGAGCACGAACTACTAATACACAGCTTACATCTATAATCGTTCAGAACCAGTAGTTTTACTAGTCCACTAGCTAATAAAAATAAACTTAAATTGTAATTGTTAAAAAATGTGAAAGTGTTAAATAATTCAACGTTGTATTTAAAATGAGTTATTTATATTTTAATATTATGCATTTATATTATTACGTCTAAATTAACATTTACAATTTTTTTTTTGCAGAGATTTGATGCACTGACACAATTTTGCATCGTGATTACGCAATGACGTCACCGCGCAATGACGTCATTTAGCAACAAATCAATCTTCCTTCAGCAACTTCCCCTGAAAATTAGTTGGCAACACTGGTCTCAAATCATTACGATCAGGCCTGCCATGTAGTGAACACACCTATGCTCCCTAAATGTCTAGTGCACTAGGTAGGCAGCTCACAAGCCCATCCGAATTAGAATTTACCAACGATGCCCAAAATTGCTGAATAGGACATTACTATTTCTCAATCTGAACACAATGCCCAATGCTGTCTAGGGCACTAGGTAGGCAGCTCACTAGTTCAGCTGAGTCAGAACGCGACTACGCAGGGTTTGAGCCGCTGTAAACACACACAGCCTTCGAGACGAGCTCCACAAACACACACGAGCGTGTAACGAGCTCATACCTGTAATAAAGGTGTGTTTGGAGACACTTTGACGGTCTGTCTTCTTCCATTCGGAGTTAAAACCGACACAGCCGCACTGCTCGCCGCCATGACACTGTGACGTCACCGTGTTTGTTTGACAAAACTTTATGCGTCACCGGTGCTACATTATAACGGGTTTGATTGAGGATGCACAATGTATCTGATTTTGCTTCTTGATGCGACACTGTCCTGCTTTCATAAACAAATGTTGCTGGCTTGGTCTATATTGTATAAACAACTTTTCTCCCCATAGGTACCTAATTTGGAACAATTACAGTAATATATTATATTAAAATAAATTATTATTCAGGATGCAGAACTATTCTAAAATCTTTTAGAGCTGCTTGGATTCAACTCACTTTTAATTTTCATTTTATTTGAAAGAAAATTATATATAATTTGTCATTTTTAGTAGTCATTATATGCTGTGACTGATATCATGTGCGTTACAAGCTTCTGTTTGAAAAGTGCGTTCATGTGTAGCTATGTGTGTGTGTGTGTGTGTGCTTGTGTATATGTGTGTATATGTGTATATGTGTGTGTGTGTGTGTGTGTATATGTGAAGGAAAAAAAATATATTGCATGGCCGCTTAGAACTTCCGTAGTCTATGGAGTTCCAGTATGTGTTCTGTTTTCATGTGTGTTATTGTAGTCCTAACTATACTTTGACTGTGTTTATTGCAGTTTAATAAAAAAAATTAAAAGGCATGATGCGACATTACTCTTCATGTCATCTGAACTCTAATTAAGCCGCAGTTTATATTACACTGGACTGTTTTGACCACATCATCATCATCGTCATCGTCATCATCATAAACTGGCCCAAACATCTGAATGGATTGTTCAGAATTCGACTGAGTCTGAAAACCGCTGAATTCACAAACTGTTTCCTTGATGAGCCACAAAAATCTGGAATTTCCTGCATGTGTTGTTTTGAACTGCTACAAAGAGAAGAGTATAGAGTTAGTATAGAGTATAGAGGATTAGAAAAAGACCCATACAGCAAAAAAACAAAAAACTAAAATCTGGCCAAAATATATTCTAAATATATGCTACATATATGTTGCAAACTCTGGCATGTTCAGTCTCGATGTCACTTTGAAAATGAGCGTTTTAAAGGAAATCATGGCAATAGTTCAGGTTTTGTCCGTCTTCACTGAAGTTGGATCTCCACCTGTGGCTGATGATCGCTGTCCATTCGGTGAATGCGACTTTTCTCTGGATCTCTTTGATGCAAGGCGTTCAAAAGGATCCAAATAAGTGAAGTGGAATGCAGTCTAATGAAACGGAGGAACGCGAATTCGAGATCCTCTGGGTGTCGAAGCAGGAAGAGACGCTAAACACATCCTATGCTGTCTAAGAACAACATGAGGAGCTGTAAACATCAAACAGATCAACACTGTAACGGCTGTGAAGAGCGACTCCATACATCTGTGAATTAAAGACAGAACTCCAACCCCTCTGGAGCTCTTCTGGATCTTTCTAGTCATTCCTCTGATGTCCCCGGCCCCGTGCCTCGGGCTCAGGGGCCGTGCATTTCATGTCGCGCATCCATCTGCGAGTAATTTAAGCCCATGTTTTTCCTCTTAACGGGACGGATTGTGATGGAGCAGGAGGTGTATGTCAGTGACAGCCAGGCATCCCTTTGAAGAGCCGTGGAATGAATTCCAGGAGCTTCTGATCGCGTCTTTATCTGTGCGCTTGATGACACCCCACGCAACAGTCACTGCTACACCGCAGAACAAGTGTGTGTTATTTTAGTATCTCTGAGATACTGTTAGAGTTTTTGTTCATATTGGTATTTAGATTTTCTGCTTTCATGTTAATTTTAGCTAAAGTTTTAGTTATTTTGTTGTGTGTTCGTGTGATTTTTTTTGTTGCTTTTAAGTATGTCTATATTATTTTTATTACTTTTATTTCAGATTTATTTTTACTTTACATGAAAGAGAGAACGTTTGCTTTGCAAACTAAATTTAAGTTTTAAATATTTTCTTTTATTTCAGTTAACATTTATTTTAAGTCACAAAAATGTACTTTTATAGTTTAGTTTTAGTTTACTATCATAACTGGTACATTGATGATATGCAGGGTTGAACCCATGATCTTAACCAGTGCAATGATCTGCTGTTCAAGCTGCAGGAATGCAACAAATGCGAATAAAAGCTTCTGCCAAAACACGTAAATGTAAGACACTATATTTTGTTTGTGTTGTGCTGAGTTTGTGCTGGTGTTTGTGTTGGCTTTCACCTGCACTACAGGAGCCCTGGGGAAATGACCAGCGTCTGAACAAACAAACAGTTCTGTCCTTATCTGTCCAGACCATCAGCAGAGGAAATAAAACCTCAAACTCGCTCCTAACAGCCCTTTGAGCGGCGTGTTTGTCTGACCTCTCTGAGCAAAGGCCGTATGCTGCCAAACTGAAGTCATTTAGGGAAATCACTGCTCGAGTGTGTTTTTCCAGTCCATTTAAAAACTTCTGAATTTCTTTTGCATTATTTGACGAGGAAATCGCCTGCAGAGCACAAACACACACACACACACACACACACACACACTCACACTCACACACATACAGACACACACACGTGTGTGCGTGCATTAGATCAACCATATTTCATATCTCACTCAGGAACTGTATTAATATTCTGTTTATTTTTACATATATGTTTCATCAGATTGAGACACACTGAGACTCTCTTAATGGAGTTTAATCCTTTAAAAATGTGTATGTGTGTGTGTGTGTGTGAGTGACCAGACATGTGTGTGTGTGTGTGTGTGTGTGTGTGTATACTGTATATATATGGGGTCACACGTAAATATTGTATATGCATTTTATATACAAGTTTGTGTACATAAAGTCCATAAAACATCAACACAATACTGAAAAATACAGTAGTAAATAACAAAATCACATATTATATATGAGCCAGTGTTATTTTAGTATCACTGAGATATTATTATAGTTTTTGATCATTTTTAAATTAGATTTTATTTTTATATAAAGTTTAAGTAATTTTGTTGTGTTTGTCATTGTTAAAAATTGTTAGTATTTTTTAAAATAAGTCCGTATAGTTTTTAAATAGTCCATATAGTAATTTTATTAAACAAACCTTTAACTTGAGACATGATGAAAACAAAAATTAGACGTTATATATTAATATATAAATATATATATATGTGTGTTTGTGTGTGTAAATAAAAAAAAATATAATAAAATATATTAAAATTCTAAATGTAAATATATATATATATATATATATATATGTGTGTGTGTGTGTGTCTATCCATCTATAATAAATATATTAAATAAAATTATAGAAATATTAAAAAAATTAAAAAATGATTATATATATATGATTTTTAAAAACTATTTAAATATACTATATAAAAATATAGCATTTTTTATTGTTGCTATTTTATTTCATTTAATGTTAATTTTCTTTTAAGTAATGAACCATTTTATGAGTTTTTAAGTTGTTATTACTAGTTTATTTAGTAAAGTTATTTTAGTATTTCAGATTAAACTAAACATAAATGAGAAATATTAGGGTTAGCTGACTAGCTCAAACAAAATAAGTATATATATGATAACCCTATGTGAATTATAAAGTTCATTCAGTGTTGGTTCTTCACATGTCAGTATTCACACTAAACACACTGAAGATTAAAGGGACACATGTGTCACTAGACCACACCCCTTTTGACCAGCCCTCTCTGCTGATTGGCAGTCCAGACAGGGCTACACTCCCCTCTGCAAGCTGATTGGCTGAGAGGGCTTCAATAAAAACCCCAAATAATGAGCCCACGAGGGACACAGACACTTGCCGTGATCTGAACGCAGGAGGAGGACACACAGTTCGCTTCAGGATGAGAGGATCCAGAGAGTTTGTATGAACCTCCTGTGGATTTATAGAAGCATGGAGATGATCCGAGTTCTGCTGGTGCTGCTGGTGCTGCTGGTTCTGGGGTCGGCGGAGGGCAGGAGGGTTCGGGGTCAGCGGACTCAGACACCCGAGAGCTTTCCTCTGGACTTCACAGCTGTGGAGGGAAACATGGAGAGCTTCATGACTCAGGTGAAGAACTTGGCTCAATCCCTGTATCCCTGCTCGACTCAGAAACTGGACCAGGAGATGAAGCTTCAGTTCCTGAGGAACTCATCGGTCACCTGTAATGATGGTTCACCTGCTGGGTTAGTGATGCTCTCTGTGTGCTTCTGCTTCTGTGTGGTGCAGTGGTCAAACATCTGCTGAATGGAAGGTTGTAGGTTCAAAGCTCACAAGGGTTGATTCATTATCCATCTGTCCATCACTGTGAAAAATATCAGCAACGCAAGTTACAAAAAGATGTTCAAAGAACGTTTTGCAAACATTTTATGAAAAACATTATTTCTGAATGTCTTCTAAATGTTCAAAACATCTAGTTTTAAAAACTTATTTTTTAGTTATACGAACATCAAGCGAACATTCCATTTTATAATTTTGCGAACTTTACGAGAACGTTACTTCTGAATGTTCTCTTAACGTTCAAAACATCAAGTTTAAAAAAAAAAATTTTTTAGTTATACGAACATCAATTGAACATTCCATTTTATAATTTTGCGAACTTTGCAAGAACGTTACTTCTGAATGTTATCTCAACGTTCAAAACATCAAGTTTTTAAAAATTAATTTTTTTAGTTATACAAACATCAAGCAAACATTCCATTTTATAATTTTGCGAACTTTACGAGAACGTTACTTCTGAATGTTCTCTTAACGTTCAAAACATCAAGTTTT